CTTTATAACTATTAACGATTACTATTGGAGCTAATTCGAACATTATATTACAATCGCTCTCCCAACAATAGTAACACTATATTAATTTTGTAAATTAATTACGTGTCAGTTATTGACATATCTACTAATTCTTAAAATTTACTCGACTTCGATTATAAAGTATATTTACCTCTTCACTCGATTAAACATACGTCTGTAATTTGATATTACTTGCCATATTGTAAAATGATAAAAATTATGAATCGTCAAAAAATTGAAAATACTGTAAATGATATACTTTTGAACCCTAAATTGAAGATATATTATTTATCATGTAAAAATTGTTTAATTAATTTTCTACTCAAGAATCAGAACTGATTAATATAGTAGCTCAGTTCCCGCTCTAGTGGCCGCCAAATTTAATTAAAAAGAGTAATAGATGCTCTATACAGCAGTTTATTTTAAGCAATGAACGACGAAACTTTTCGTCAAGCAATTTCTGATTGACGAATGACAAAACCAATGACGATTAGTCTGTCCATGTAACAATAAATCTTTTTAGGCGCATTGTCTTATCTCCTTTTTTAAAAAAAATTTCAAGACTTATTATCTATTGACATATTTACCCGGTACAGTATATCCGAAGAATGCTTTACCTCTGGAAGTATCCTATTTACTGACAAAAATATACGAAATTTACCGAATAGAAAATCAATCAACGCAAATTGCGAGAGGCAATATACGAAAATATTCCGGATAAGGTACTTTCAACTGTCAGGGATTTCATCAAACGATTGGCGTGATGTTAAATCAAAAATAGATTTGTCATTTATCATTACCTATAAAGTATAAATTTATTCTGATGAAAAAAGATAAACAAATGTTCTGTACCGATGTCTGTGTGTACAGATTCTTTATTTTTTATCTATTAGACAAAAGAGGAGATTTAAATAGATGTTCTAGATTTTCATGATTTTTTTTCACAATGTAAACATTCATTAGAGAACAGGCAATACGTAGCTCATTAAATTTACAAAGTATACAACGTAAACAATGTACAGTACTGCAAAACAAACTACGTTACAATTTTTTCTTTAAATATTAAATAGGTATTCTATTTATCAGAAAGGATTGTAAGCACCCTTATGAAATATAGGAAAAGAATCGACATACTAGACAACCTCCTAAAAACCTAACAATAATTTAATAGAAGACTGACTTATGGCATTAACATATATGAAGAAATCCCAAGAGTAGAAAAATTAAATAATAAAATAATTATTACAACCTATCATACAACGAAAAAGGAAATGCTACACATGTAAAGATAAGAAAGTAGCCGGAGTTCAAATTGCGACCGTAACGCTTGAATTCATTATTAAAAAATATCTGAAATTATACTTATTATAGGAGTTCATAGTGATTGTTAACTTTAGCCCAAAATTTTGTTTATGTAAAAATGAGCTCTGTTTCTATTGACAACACCCCAATTATGTATTATATGTATAACGAAAAAAAAAACACTATAAATATATCCACGAATTTTTTAATGAGAAATTTATACCGCAAAAAACTTCAATAATACTTGACAAAATGAAAACACTAGTAATCCCTATTACAGAAATTAAAAAAGGTAATTTTGATTTTAATCCTAAAAAAAAATTCAAAGCAAAATGGGTCCTTGACCTCCATGGCTTTTTACCTCGCGATAAATTCAAAGAAAGGCTTAAAGAAATAAATGATCATATCGAGGGATATCCTCTGATGAGCGAGAAACTGAAGACAGGACTGTATTGGCTTAGCGGCACAATGGCTGCTTTAGTTATTATAATTGTTGTTTCAGTTTTCTATACCAGTGTTGGTTCAGCAGCTGCGGCTAGTTTTGCATCTTCTCAATCGTATAAACCTTTCAGTACTACTGGCGCTGCTGCTGGCAGTGTAATTGTTGAAGTATTGATCTTTGGTTTAACATATTTTGCTAAATATATGATTGACCAAAAATCACAGGAGCTCGCGAAAAATTTTAAAAACAATTTAAAACCTTTGCTTACCCAATATAATAATAAAGATAATCCGACTGCTAATTGGAGATTTGTATGGCGGAAAGTACTCTCGCATTACAGTATAGAGGGAACTGCAGGTGCGAATGGAAATATCAAGGGGAAATCTGTGCCACAATTCGTTGAACAGGCTGAAATAGTGCTCGAACTTAATGATGCACTCTCTGAGTTAACTGCTGATACAGTTACAGTGAATAAAGAAGTTTCAAAAATTCAAGAAGAGAAGAGTATCACTACGGTCACTACAATACAATAGTCTAATGGATATTATTTAGGTTTTTTTTTCTTCTTAATTCTATTATAAATGTATCAATTAAATAGGATTTTAGAAAAACAGATTTATTATTTTTATTATTTGTTTTTTTATCTTTATTATATAATCAAATTATTTTATTAAATAAATTTTTATCAAATATTTTTATTAATTTAATAACATAAGCTTATTTTTGTTTATAAAGTTATACAGTATAATCAGACCGTTTACCCTATAAAAAACTTGTAGAATATTCGTTCGTCTTGCAAGAATGCATTATTTGCTTTGGTTTACATGCCAATATTCTAATTTATGTGTAATAGAAATTACGTATGTTCATATGCACTAAAATGATTCGCACTCGCGGATCTCCTCTAAATCATATGCATTATAAATATATTTTTTCTTTATTGTATAGGCCAACATCAATATGAATTTATTCCACTATAAAAAATTGATATCAATTTCTTACGTAATAAAAGTGTATATAGTCGAATTAATTTTTTTTTCTACTTTGTAAAAATGATATATTTTTAATTATTGAAACTCATCAGAGAGGAATTTTGATGTCTTTGTTTATTTTTATCTGTCGTTTATTTGGTTTTTTTAGGGATTGTATTATTATGCAATAAGCAACATATGAGGTTGTAATTATTTGTAATGATTCACGTAAAATTTATTGAATGATGGGATTCTTTTTATTAAATTTTGGATTACTATATATTATTTAAACGATAAAACCTACACAAAAAAAACAAAAAAAGCATACGTAAAAATTAATAACATGCCAAATTGTATTAGTGAAGTCATTCATAATAATGGTCATGATTGTGGATATTGATATTTAATATATACCGACATATACTGTATAGGTAATCATTTTGTATTAATATTGTTATCTTATTCATATTAATTTGCGCAATATATTAACATCGTTGATTTGCATAAATATTTGTTATGTTTTTTTTGTTATGTTTGTGTAACCGTGTTAAACTTTATGGGCAACTGTATATATGTCATGCACGTACGTACATATTTTTTAAATAGTAATTATTAAAAAGGAAATACGAATGCAATATAAGTTTGCTAAAGAATCAATATAATTTGGGCCGTGCTGCTATAGTTTTCGGGAAAATACACATTCTCCAGTATACATTTGTAGACCTTTTCAAACTAACAATGAAAATTAAGCAGTCATAAGACATACGTAAGTTACGCCTGTGGTTCACATTCTTATGTATTTGGTAAGTTTCTCCTTATAGGATTTCATTTACAGACCTTCCGATGATGCTATGCTACTGTGTTAATTGCCAAGAGCTGTATAGTGCTATCGGAAAATCTGTATATTGAATCTTATCAGACGAAACCCGAAAATGCATAATTGGAATGTTTTCTCACAGTGCTGTAGTGTAACCCATATTTGTAAATGTTTACATTTGCAACTCACTCTTGTTATGCGTACGTAACTAGAAAATTATCATGAGGGCGGCTTCGCTGCCTGTTTTAATGATTATGTATACAGAAACAAAAGTTGTATTGTGTGACAATGATTTGGATACAGAATGGTTTTCATATTTCTAAATTAATTCAAATAAAGTGAGAAGCGTTATTTGATAGTAAAAATTCACAAACTTGAATAATATATCCAAATACCTCAGTTTATAAATATTTATTTTTCACTTATATATGCGTCAGACCGAAATTTGATTTTGAGATGCGTTAGGTCAATTTATCTATTATACGTCATATTAAACCCAATTTACGTATCAGGTATGTACGTACGTACGTACGTACGCATGTACTAGGTCTGTTACGGCGGTCGGCTATTATCGGCTAGTCGCTCAGCTAAATAGCCGGTTATAGTTGATAAATTATTCAATCATTTATTTAATGCGATAAAATAATTATGTAATATGCCCGTTTGCAATCGCATGTTCGATCGATTGATCGATCAAGTGATCGATCGTGATATTAAGTTTCAGGCTGTACAAGGTTGTGCTCCGGATTATTATGTTGATAATTTAAATCTATCATTTAATATTCTCTGGTGATTTATTTGGTTTCAAAATACTTTTATATTTTCTGAACTAACAATTTGCCTTCCGAACATCTCTTTGCACTGAATACGTAACATGGAGAAACATTTCTCATTACTCCATTAATACCCATATTGGCAGACTATTCATAATATTCAAATGATTTATTATAATCTTGATCAATCCCAATTCCATATTCATAATGAACACCAACATTACTCATTGTTACAGTATTGCCCAATCAACAGACTTCTTACAATATTCAAATGATTTGAAAAGCCTGTCAACGAAGTGACAGGGCGATTATTATTGCGAAATCAGATGACTTTATGACTGGTCAAATTACAGGTTTTTTATGTATCCTTTTGTGTTTATTTTTGACTATTGTTGTAACGTGTTTTTTGTTATGGCTTATTGTTAGGATGGCCAAATGAGATATTTAAGGCTGGTTGTTTTGGTGAAGAAGATTATCTTATTCTTCGCTATTGCTCGCCTTGTGAAGGCTGGCTCTATCGTTTGTATCATATATCATATATAATATATCTTATATCATATATAATATATCTTATATCATATACATTTCTTTTTGTTTCGAAAAATATAAAATAAATAAAAAAAAAAAGTTAAATAGCTGCATTTAGCATATAGTATTATCATACGTACGTAAGTGATCTGAAGTATGTCTGCGAATTGTTCAATGCATGCCGGGAGTTGGACAAAGCTAACTTTGACTGAGTTGAAGGACTTGTGTGCAGCTTGTGGCCTCTCCGTAGAGGGTGATAAAGAAGAGCTAGGTGAAAGACTGCTTATTTTGACAAGAGAAAAGATAAAGGGCCAGAGGCGCAGTTGAAGGGGAGTAATAGAGAACAAGAACCGGGGCCCAGGAATGCTGATGATAGGACAGGAGAAGTAGTAGATGTGGACTTGGATGAAGATGGAGGTGGTGAGTTTGAGGATGATTTAAATGAAGACTCCCAGGAAGCGGATAATAGGATTAGAGAGGAATTTGCAGCATATTTTAGAGGAAAAGAGAAAGTAAAGTCAGTTCCTGTTGACCTGCTTTAAGTAGCATTGAAAGAAAGATGGATAGGAATTTCTCTGCATTGTATAGGGAGATTGAAGATGGAGATGGGTTAGATGAAGCTTGGCCGAAAGTTAAATTATCAAGACCACATGACCAGCATGAGTATGATTTTTTGGCAAAGATTGGTAGACGTTTAGATAAGGCAATCAGGATATTGCCAGAGTCTAATAGGAAGGAATTTGTTGGTGTGCGTGAGGAAGTTGAGTCAAGGGCTGTTACTCTGAGATTAGCAGATAACAGAGGATGGGGTACTGCATTGCAGATTGTAGAAAGTAATGATAAGATGATGGAGAAGTATAAGGACTGTATACCTTTATTTAGCCAGGCAGGGCAATCTTCATGCTTATATGAATGGGGTTATAGAAGAAAAGCTTGAAAGTATCAGCACAAAAGAAAAAGAGCATCACCTAACCTACTTCATCTGATTCAGAAAGGGATTATTACTCATAGCATTAGGATTGGTAGTGCAACAGCAGCAATGGAAGCAGGTTTATTGTTAACACAAATATGAGCTATAGGCAGTTGGGATAATAAGGCAGTTATGTTATATTTGAGGTCCATTGGAGCAGCGGAGTTGCAGTTTTCTAGGAAAATGGGATTTGCTAATTAGCGATCCTCTTCTATTCTCATATGTTTTTCAGCTTTGTTAAATAAAATTGTTCAGTTGTTTAAATAAAGTCATCTGATTGAGCAATAATAATGAA